GCGGCTGAATCGGGACTACAACCCAGGCGATGCACAGGGGTTGGGGTTCTGGGGCTCCTGATCCGACGCTACAAGATGCTGGAAACACACCAGCTACGGTGTTGGCAGAGGAAGGTGTTGTTGGGATCCAGCCAGTCGGGAGCTGCTGTGTGTCACAGATATTTTACTTCGTACACTGCCAGCGTTCACGATTTTGTGATTTTATGGAAGCAGTGAACGCTAAGCCTCTAAAGAGGGCTCCAGTTCTGCTCTGGTTGAGGGAGGCGGGCTGCTGGCAGGGACAGAGAGGGCTCCTTAGAGGAAGCGAGATCTGAGCTGGCCTCAAACGGAGGAGAAGCGTTCACAAGGTGAGGCTGAATGCCGGATGCCCAGACCAGCCTGGTGGCCACATCTCCTCTTTCCCAGAAAGAAGGGGGCTGTGTATCAGGATTAGGTTAAATTACAAAGGACAGAAAACCTAAGATAAGAGTAGATCAAACAGAGGGGCGCCTGGGTGGCTCAGCCAGTTCAGCGTCTGACTTCAGCTCAGGTCATGATCTCGCAGTTCATGAGTTCAAGCCCCGCATGGGGCTCTGTGCTGACAGTTCAGAGCCTGGAGCCTGGTTCCGATTCTGTGTCTCCCTCTCTCTGCCCTTCCCCCGCTTGCACTCTGTCTCTCGCTCTGTCTCAAAAATAAATAAAAGCATTAAAAAAAAAAAAAGAGGTCAAACAGAAAGAAATGTTTTCCTATCTTATGTAAAAACTCCTGGGGTGCCTGGCTGGCTCAGTCAGTAGAGCAAGCAACTCTTGATCTCAGGGTCATGAGTTCAAGGCCCGGTGGGGCGTTGGGCACAGAGCTTACTTGAAAAAAAAAAAAGAATAAAAACTTCTAAGCTAGGTCGTCAGGTGGCAGGGACCAGACCCCTCTGTCTTCCTCCTCCAATCTCAGTATTTGGCTTGAATCTCATGGCTCAAGATGGCTGCTTGAGTACCGGGCATCACGACCGTATTACAGCCGACAGGGCAGAGGAAGGGATCAAGAAGGGAATGCCATCTCCTCAGCAGAGGGGTTTCTAGAAGAATGCCATCTAACTTGGCAGTTCTAAGACCCACAGAGGGCCCACCAGACCCCTGAAAGGCTCCCAGGCTGCTGCCTGCGGTGGCATCCGGGAAAGCGAGAGCTGCAGGCCAGATGTCGGCCATTCTGCTCGTCTCCCCCAGGAAGTTCCTGCAGCCACCCACGGAACACGAGAGCTGCGGGTCGCTTCCGAGGTGCCACATGCGCCGGGCCCTCCGGTGGCCCTGTTCCTTCCATCTCCTACTGGAGTCGCCCCCTCCTCCCGGCCAGAGCTTTCTCTGGTGCCCTGGGAACCCAGACCCCTGGGGGCTGGGGGGAGAGGGAGGGTCCTACAGAGTTGGGTAGGAGGTAGAGATTCCAGGTAAGCCCCCCTGACCAGCACCTCCCACCACCACAGATGGACCCCACTTTCTCAAGTGTAAGAACAGGAGCCCCGGGAAGAATTTCAATCAAATTGCTATAAAAGCCCTTGCTAGAGACAGACACATGGCAGGGGCTCAAGAAGGTAAGAACATGAACGAATGAATGCATGAGTGAATGGAGTCGGTCAGTCAACCGATCACACAACCGTGGCGTCATTCAGCCTAACCTCTGCCGAGTTGTCACCCAGCTTTCACTTACATACTCCCAGTGACAGGGAGATCACTACTTTAAGCGCAAAATGGTTTTAGTTTTAGACTGTCCTGAGGGTAAGTCAGGTCCCCCACCTCCCGGGTTTCCCCATCAGCCCCATCCAGTCTACCTAAATGTGGGACCCAGAGCACATTTAGAATCTTTTTTCTGGGATGGTACCCAAGTCTCCGTAGGCAAGGGAAGGCACAGAACCCCATAGCTGGACCTTGGAGACCACAAGTCTCCGGGTCATCTTCTTGCGTTTCAGATGAGGCTCTGACCAGAGAAGGGCTATGGCTCAACTAAGGCCACACAGCTGGCTAAGGGCTGAGCCCAGGTCAGACCCCAGATCCACCTCTCAGCTGTGTTCCTTCTGTGTGTTTTTGTTTTTTAATTAATTTTTTTTTCCTGGGGCGCCTGGGTGGCTCAGTCAGTTAAGCCTCCAACTTCGGCTCAGGTCGTGATCTCGCGCTTCGTGGGTTCGAG